ACCTAGACTAACACAGCCTGAGAATCAAATTTCTCATTATGAAAACACTGCCTTACACGAAGTAAGACCCAGGAACATAGATAAATCAAAAAAGAGAGCAAAGGGGGGGGGGGGTAGGGAAATCTAAGCACATTTAAAAAATAGAATTTAATTAGCTCAAATTCATCTGCAGCAATTTTTTAAAAACATAGTTGCCATAAGCGAAACTCTTTCAAACAGTGGAGAAAACTTAAGGAATGATAGTATAGGTATTTACTGTGTGGTTTTTTTCTTTTTTGGAGTCCTCATCCCTGCTTGTCAGGTAAAAATAATCTTTAGAAGTTTCTCAAATATGACTTCATGAGATACAAGTGACTAATAAAGAATCTAATAAATTATATATCATTTGCAAGTATCATGTAAACTTCAGTCAATCTGAAATAATTTTAAAGAGTCACTTAAAATGGTCAAGACCACAAAGCTATGAGGAGTATGTCAAATGACACCTTAAAAAATACTGACTAAAGTTAGTGTGTTTTCAAACAGTGTAGGCAGATCTCCATAAAAAATGCTTTGACAAGTGAAAAAGTAAATGAGAAACAATTTACAAAAAAAAACAAAACACAGTATTCAGAAAGTCCTAAAACTGTGATATAAAAATACAATTGATCTATTTGAAATAAAATTAAAAAGATTTGTCTATAAAATTTCGTAATGTGAAAACAGAACAAGGAGATTTTGGGGGGCTTTCGCTTTCTTTCCTCCCATTCTCAAAATCCAAATACCTTAGTTTTTTTTAAATTAGAATAAAAGTGTGTATTTAAATGAAAAATAACTAATAAAGACACTGGGCTTGACTGCTTAATCTCAACAAGTTTATAAACTATTCCTCATAAAAAATGGAGTATTTTAAGACTACTAAACATGAGAATTGGAAATGATTTTCCTTACACGATAGACAGAGGTGGGGTATAGACACATGTAATCTCTAGATATCTTAGAGAGGCTGCATGGGAAGGTATAAAGGGAACAGGTTTCAGAGGCACTCTGACTTCCACTCCAATTCTAGCTACTGGATTCACCTAGCTTTGCAGCCTGGGCAAGCTACTCTTTGGCACCGATTCTTAGTCTTCTCTGTAAAGTAAGGATGCTGAGTTACCTACACAGTATGTAGATACAGTTACGCAGATATGGCTTAGCACAAGTAGGAGCTGGGAAAATACAAGTTCCTCTTTATCACTGAAGAATCATCAACTTATACAGCTATTTGATCAGTGGTATAATAATTCAAAAGTATTTTAAGTCTCCTTTGAGGGAAGAACTTACCCTTTTGGTGTGAAAAATACAAAGCTCAAATAATAAACTTTCCTACTCATGAGAACCTCAAATTAAGTTTTTAAAATATATAACAAACTAGCATTTTAACAGAAGAAAGAGTGGGGGTTATCCCAGAGCCCTACATAATATAACAGTAACTTAGAGCAAAATGTAATTTTTTACTTTTACTGGTCCCCTATGTTATTATTCTTTTGGGGGTCACAGACTCCTTTGAGGAACTAATGAAAATCAGACATACACTAATCATTAAATAGTATTTATGCACACACATAAACATATCTGCAAAAACTTTTGGAGGATTCACAAACCCCTTTATTAAAATTTCAAGCTTGACTCTTTTCCAGATACTGATTTTAAAGCTAGGAAAGTATCAATGTTGCTTACATTAAGAAGACTGAACATATTCCAGAAAGTTGAACCAAAAAAAAAAAAAAAATTAAGTAAAACAATCTAGAATTCCCCTAAATAATGACTTTCCTGAATATATTTTAAATATATTCTGACTGAAATTCAACTGAACTATTAAAAATACTTTTATTAACCAAAAGACTTTTTTTAATATAAGAAAAATGAATGAATCCCATTTCTGGTACTGCCGATAAGAATTTTTAGCAGAAAAATTTTATTCTTCTATCTTTGATATAAAGCAGACGTTTTAGGATTCTAAATAATCTTTGATTTACTGTGACTAGCATTTGTATTTTTAAATACCTGAATAAAAAATTATTTTTATTTAAAAAATATTCTTAAAATGAGCTCCCTCCAGCTCCATACAACTATCTCCTCTTCTGTCTTTCTACCACACTCCTGTCTTGCCCATTCTGCAAGGTAACTCTATCAGCCCCTGCCACTCTGTACATCCTGGCAGCAACTTCCACTTGGCACAGATCTGACCAAGCTGAGAAGCATTCATGGAGCACTTCCGTGCTTCAAGTTAAGGCCTAAGAATTTAATCAAACATTATCATTTCCTCAGTTTTCTGTTTTTTTTTGTATTTTTTAGTACACTTCTACTTTTGATTATGGTTCAACATTTTTCTAAGGTTGTGATTATTCTGAAAGGGTAAAGTAATGTTTCCGAACATACAATTCTGGGCTTCAAAGCATGTTTTTATAGTAAACAAGGAAGTTTCTCTAATTCACACATCTATTTACTAATGAGTTTACACTTAATATCTCTGTGATCATTCACAACTACCTGACTTCTAGTATCTCTGTAATCTAATACTGCATATGTTTCTAACAGATAAGAATACCATAGATACTCCTTTGAGTCTACCATTCTCACACTGTAAACACACAGTGGCTCCTTAAAGTTCAAAAGGTGTCTCCAGTCTCTTCAAAAATACTTCTGACATCCTGAATTCTTATTTTTCACCTTAGCAGTTTCCTGCTCTAGCCAAAATGACATCCGCTCTTTCAAAGACAGCTTAAACTTTGTTCTTGTCTCTTCCAATCCACATGAACTATAATCTCCCTCTTTTAATTTCTGCCATTCAAACCATTCTTCAAATCTAACCTTATCTCTGAAAATCTGACTTTCCAAGCAATCACTGTACAATTCACATGGCAATCAGTCTATATTTTGCATTTCTTTTTGTTCTTTGGTAAATGATGTGAAACCTTTTTATTACTTGTCTGCTTGTATCAACACTGCCAACTGCATTCCGATTAGGGTCGGGGGACCTTGCCTTATGTTTCATAATTTCCTCCCACACCAATTCATTACATGGTGGATTATCAGTGTTTATATATAAAGGTGATTAACTATACATTTCCTCAAATTGTAATCATATAATAATCACCAGGGCTCCCCTGGTGGCTCAGACAGTAAAGAATCCGCCTGCAATGTGGAAGACCTGGGCTCAATCCCTGGGTTGGAAAGATCCCCTGGAGAAGGGAGTGGCCACCCACCCTAGTATTCTTGCCTGGAGAATTCCATGGACAGAGACTGGTGGGCTGCAGTTCGTGGGGTTGGAAAGAGTTGGACATGACTGGGCAACTAACACTTTCAATTTCAACTCAAATAATCATCTTTAAGGCCAGTTTTATATCCTGAGCAGCTCTCCTCAGTTTTATGGTTCTGTTGCCTATTTATTCACTTTTTACATAACTACTATGTATAATACATATTTTCTATTTTTAAAGAAAGTTTAAAAGTCATCCTTTCGTTGTTGTTCATCCTTGGTATATGTTTAACAGAAATTCTGGGTTATAAACTTTTTTTTGTTTGGAATAAAAGCTGCGAACTTTCTTGAGAGACCAAGAAACCTAGCAAGTATGTTATGAAATAATTTTTCAGATTACACACTGGGGCTGCATTTTCAAACATGTGAGGGAACAAAGTAATTACGTGGCTAATAATGAATCAATAACTACTGGAGGGCTTACGTCCTCCAACCTTGGTAGTGGCTGCTACGTGGAACCTATAATCTAGCTGAAAGGGTAAGGCTCTCTTTACCTCCCAACTACCACCATCTTTCTTGACATCCTATCCTCATTTTGTTTGGTTTGGAGTTGTCTCAATGCATCAGATGATGTTATCTTTATTCTTAAATTAATTTCCACAGCTTTAGACACAAGTCTTAATACTTTAGAGGTACCTGACACTAAAGAAAGTCTCAGAATCACTGCTCTAAACCCAGGTATAAATTCTGTTATTAGCAATATATAGTATCATTTTATTCAGGTAACTAAAATGCATTAGTTGTAAAAATGTCCCTTTTTGTCAATGTAACTTTTATTGCTAAGAAAAAAGAAATTATATGATATTGCTGTGCAATAATGAAGCCTGGAAAACAATGCAATTAAAATGACACATAATTACTACCAGTGGCTAAGAGTGGTCTCTCAAGACCTGCCAAGAGGAGCTGGAGCATGGAGGTTATTTCCTCTCAGTAAGTTTTATTACTAAGTTTGGCTCTCTTAAATCTTTGAAGCATACATGTTCAAATTAAATTGTTCACTTTTAGATGTCCAAAAACTTGAAAACTCTACGAGAAGACAGTTATTTGGATTACTAACTTTGAAATTTAGGGCAGTTATTTTTTTTTAAAGGATACTGTTTGGCCTCCTAGTACTAGTATTAAAACAAAATAAAAAACCTACAGAGGAGCAGTTGATCAGAATTTCTAAGGAAGGCAAAGGGACAAAGAGCTTTGCTCTGACGAAGCACAGCAGAGTACAGCAAAAAACGGCTGCCCCAGCTCAACATGTATACCCAGAGCACAAGAATGCCAGAGTGAAATTATTCTCAGGTGTTCAACTGGGCACAAAGAGGCACTGAAAGGTCTAGTCTGTAAATAAGAGTCTGAAAGGTCTAGTCTGATCACGATCACTAACTTCCAGTGATGGCAGCAGCCTGCTGGAGGAGAAATGCACACATTTAAAAGCACATTCTTTGTCTGCCTCAAAATTAAGATTTAAGGGAGAAGGAGAAGGAAAGGCAAGACATACAGGGAAGAAATAAGTACAGCCCACACAAAAAGGTATTTGATGCCCATTAAATGACAACAAACCTATCTACAAAACAGAACTTTAGCTCTATCTTCCACTTCAATACATTTCCTTAAACTTTAATTGACTCCTTAAAATGAAAATCAGTCACTGTGTATATGTATATTTATAGCCACTGTTTAGATAATAAGACTATTTAAAATACTTAAGAAATAAAACAAAACTTACCCCATCACTTTCTCTATGTGGATTCAGCCTACTATAAACAGCTTCAATAACATGGCGCCTAAAAAAAATTATGCTTTAGTTTTATTAAATTACAGTTATTAAGCTTCTGCATATTTAAAATAATACTTCATATATTCTTGACTGCAGTCAAAAATTAACTGCCTCAATAAATACCTGCCAAGAACAGTTTCTGCATTTCACTCAGAATTTGATCCTGCACAATCCATTTGTTCTCATTTACTAAGGGAAGAAGGATATTCAGCCCCAAAGAATATAATAAATAATGCCTTAAAAATAAAATCTTTTGGATGAAATTAAAATGTTCTTTTCTAGCATAAGAACTGTCAACCCATTTCATCTTTAGATAATTAATGTACTTCTAACCCCAAATTATTTAATTACTAATTATAAATGAAGTCAAAATTAGTTCTTTTTGTTCTACTTACTTGCCAGCAAGACCTCCCCCAGGAGGCAAATTTGGGATATTTTCTGCAGACAAGATGCGCATGACGTGGGCAAGATCAGGCATCCCTTCCTCACCAGACTTCTCCATAATTTCTGCAGGTTTTTAAAAAGAGTTCCTAAATTAATGTGGTAACTCAGAATTCACAAAGTGAAACAAGAGGTACTACTTGGCAATACTATCACACAATGAACAAAAAAGATAAGAAGTTATTTGCATATATATACTCATTCTAGCATTATTCATAAAAGCAAAAACTGGAACATTTAAATGTCCAATAAAGAAACAGTTAAGAAAACTTCAGAATAGCCACTGAGTGAAATGGCTTATAGTCACTACAATGATCCCTACGAACAAGGCATAGCCGCACGGAAACACATTTTTGACCCATTACATGAATATATAAAAGTTATTAATGCTATAATTAAAGGAAAACAAAAGCAATAGAAGGATAAGGATTATAAGAAGGGAAGATTAAAATTTGCTTGTAGGTTTTTGTCTAAACAGTATGTTCTATAATCTATTTTTGCCTTTATGAATCCATTGCTTTATTATTTTCACCAGGCACAATTTATTTAAAACAAAAAAGGAAAACAAATCTCAGAACTTGCTAATACATAGAACAAAATAAAACATTTATATGTTCCACTTATATTTACAATTTCCAGAAAACAGATTCTTAAGGCATGATTTATCTGGCCAGTATCAAGACAATAAACTTCTTGAAAAATCAGACAACGGCAAACTTACTTTTAAAACAACAAAAAAGCAGTGTCCTAAGCAGCCCTCAAGAGGCAAAATCCAAATGATTTACCATGCATCCCTCACAAGGACTTCACCATGACTTTAACTTTCACTGCTCCTATTTAACTCTGCCCCGACCCCTAGCTATATTGCTATAGGAGCTATTCAAAGAAGTCTTCTCGATTTTCACATGTACTTCCTCCCTTGGTCTGAAACACTTTTTAAATCTATTCAACCAACCCTTTTGTATGGTTAAAGTGTATTCATCCTTCGCGTTTCAACCTCATGTGTAACTTTCTCAATCCTTCTCTGACCCATGCCTGGATAGGAGTGTCGCTAGATACTCCCACTGTACACGATATTTACTAGATTACAGACTGCAAACGTCATGAAGGCAGGACTGTGTTTTTCTACCTTACACTCTATCTCTATAGTCCAAGAATTCTCAACTTTAGCACTACAGATGTTTTAGACCATTTTTTGCTGTGAAAGTTGTCCTGTGCGCTGCAGAATGTTAAGGAACATTCTGGCCTCACTCACTGGATGTCAGTGGCACCCTCTCCTTTATGAGACCATATCTGTCTCCAGACATTGCCGCATGTGGCATGAGGAACAACCTCCCCCAACCCCAAACCACTGCAGTCTAGCACTTCACCAACCAACTTTCACATACCACTGGTGCCGCTGCAGTCCAATCCTCCCCCACCACCTGTCACCTGCTTCAATGCATGATTTCTAACTGGCTTCTTAGCTTCCTCTCTCTTGTCCCTCTTTACAATCTCTTCACAGAGCAACAGAGAGAAGTCCTTTAAAAAGTCAGATCAAGTTACTCTTGCACTCAACGTCTTCCATGCCTTCCCAACACTATTTAAATAAAGTCCAAAGTCCTCATTTACGTCTGCAAGAGTCCTACACGATCTGCTCCTTAGTAATTTCTCTTAGTCTTTCACTTTTCTACCAGCTCTTTCTAATCCAGCTATACACTCTAAGCACATTCACTCCTCAGTTCTTATTGCTCCCTTTGCTGGAGTGTTCTTTCCCCAAATAGCCACTCTTTCCCATATACAGTCATCTGCTTAAATGTTTTTCCTCAAAAAGACCTTCCTAACCAATATTTCTTGCTACTACTGTCTGCCTACTGTTCTGTTTTCTTCTGTTAAACACACACACACACACACACACACACACAGGTCTCTACTAGATTATGAACTCCATGAGATGAGGAATATATTTGCTTTGCTTCACACACACACACACACACACACACACACTGGTCTCTACTAGATTATGAACTCCATGAGATGAGGAACATATTTGCTTTGCTTTCTGCTACCTTCCCAGTGACTCGCATGCTCAGGGACTGCTGAAGTAATGAATACATGCAGAAGGCATTCACCAGCTATCTAATCAATTTAGGTTAAAGACTACTTAACATCATACCTCCCCTCTGCACACCCAATAAAAACACATACACAGACTTGCCAATACACCAGAATGCTTTTACCTCAAAATTCTAATAGCAGATTACATGACTTTAAACCCTAACAGAAATATAGTGCTCTTGAAGAACAATTGCTTATAAAAAAGAAGTTAGGTACCGAGGCATATTGATCTGTAGTGGCTGCTTTTTCAAGGATTTTAAAGAGTTTTTTGATTGATTATAATCAAGTGTCTGCCACAGGCCCCAAGATCACATCATATTAATACGTATTTGTTATCTCTGTCATATAACATACATTTTGGATAGTTTAAAACCATACAAAATAATATTAAATGTTAACAACCCACATTGAGCTGAACTGACCATACATTTAAGAAATTAAAATTTAGCTGTTACAGAAGAGTTAATAAAAGCTACAGTTTGCTGAGGACTTGTGTGGTAGGCACATTACCAAGTACTTAACTAAGTTTTCTCATTTATTTAAAACAAACTGTTTGGTTGGTGTTTTTACCTTTAGTTCACAATAAAGAAACTGGAGCCTTAGGAGATATTAGGCAAGTTGGTCAAGATCATATAACATGTAATTGACCAAATTTTAGAGTTCTTCCCCAAATGAAAACTATCTAGTTTCTTTTTTGTGAAGGAGGAAATAGGACAATAAGAAACTCTTCCTCGTCTTCTCACAAATTTGAGCCAGCAACCTCCCACTCCAATACACTCGACCTTTCAGAAAACGTATGTTATTAAAAACTCCTATAAACAGCTCCTCTTAATAAGTGTGACATTATCAACAAGAATGAATGAATGCTTCTGACATGGTCTTCCAAGTGTTTTCACATGTTCCTTATCTCTCCATTATGCTGAAAACAAAACTTCACTGACAGTTCAGGGTTGAAGAAATTGCAGACCAACAACAAAAAAACCTCATGGCACCTTTGTTTAGGATGTGCAGACAACTTTAAAGCTAGAAAAGATAAATCAGTCCCTCGCCACCAAATCTGCAAAAGAATGTAGTTTTCTTTTGGCAATTACACATTTGAAATTGACAATTTTTGCATTTCAAAACTTTTACCAATTACCACAGCTACTATACATCTGAAACATGACTCATAAATAGGCCAAATTCAACAAGCTGACCACACCATAATCATTTTATCATTCAAATTTACTATTGAAAAGTAATAATGATCAAGCCATAAAGGTGTTAGGAAAAAATATAGGTCAATATGTAACCCTGAACTTGCTACTCAATATTATGTAACAACTTAAAATGGGAAAAGAATTGAAAAAGAATAGATACATGTATAAGTGAAACACTGGGCTGTATATCTGAAACTATCACAACATTGTTAATCAACTATACTCCAATATAAAATAGTTTAAAAAGTAGCACATACAAAACTGAAGTATTAAACCATAGATCCTGCCACAGACTCTAAAATGTATTCTCTATCACGGTAACCACTAAATGATATCTCAAAGGATGTATAACTAATAAGCAAATGCAGGGATGAACTCAAATAGAAAATACTGATTAACCCAAAAGGGAAGAAAAAAGAAAAAAAGAGAAAAGAATAGATGGAACATACGTAAACAAAACAATTTAAACCCAAACAATTACCAAATTATGTTGAAGTTAAGGAGACTAGCTTTCCCCTCTCTTATTCCTGAATAATGGATTTTTAGTCCAAAATCTATAGGAAATTTTAAAAGAATTATTTGACAAGCAAGGAATAATACTTTTGCTTTCCTTCTAAATTAAAAAAAAAAAAAGCATCTTTCTTACCTTCCACCCGTGATTCCAAGTACTTATCCAACTCTGAGTCTTTTCTCATTGCTTCATCTGAGACCTTGGGAGCATTTGAAAAGCAAACTAGTACAATACTCATGTTATCTCGACTTCCCTGCATATTAAAAAAATAAAATAAAAATTATACTTCTATAGTCTAACAACTATTATTTACTTTAAGCAATTATTTAATCATCCAGAATGTACACCTTCAACACATTCATTTTCAAAGAACTATTTGAAGCACACCTTGAAGAAACAAGGACTCTTAGGTATGGGTAGATTGTAATTATTTTAAGATTTCTATATCTATGTACCTCTTATCTACCTCCATTCCACTACTTGAGAAATGAAGATATCTTCATACATATTAAATCTTCTAAAAACTCTGTTTCCCACTCAAGACTGCATATTCCCGAAGTTACTTAAGCCCAAAATGCATCCTCCCAAAGAAAATATGCATCCCCCCCCCCCACCCCCCAGCTAATTAACCTGCATTGGAGCAATGTTACTGAAACTCTACTAAACTGACGTGGATGAAAACTGTGGATTATTACGATACCCAAGACACTAAACTAAACAAGCAGAGAAAAAAAGTTAAACTGGAAACTGTTCTGAGGGTATAGTCTCAAATGACCAAACAGATTCACTGTAGTCAGATGAAATAACTTTGGAAGAAATAACATCAGACAGTTAGTGTCAGGATTTGGAGAGAGCAGCTAAAACTACTAATTGAAGGACTAATTTTACTGCTGCCTTTTTAATCACACCATCACAAAAGATCTATATCAAAAAGGAAACACGGGATAGACACTACTCTATTACCACGAGACTATAAGCAATAAAGCTAAAACAGTTTCTTAAAGGTATATTACTTTTACTGAATTTCTTAAAACAGAATAAAACTGTTCTTAGAAAGAATAGTGATCTTTTTTTTCACTCCTTTTTTTTTCCTATCTACCACTCTAAAAAACTAAGTCAATGGAGGTGGGATTTGCCAACCCAAGTGAAGAGAGCCAACAACACACCCATGCTACTCTTTTCAGTCATCATGGCCAGAATCTAGGTGAGCACTGTTTGGTTAAGATTCGCCACCTTTTGGGGACCCACATGACACAGTCAAACACAGGCAGGCCTTGAAAAACTACTGCTAAACCTCAATGGAGCAAAGTTTGAAGGCGGTATAGGCTGAGCCTTAAGAAGATTTTGAAAAGAGTAATTCTCTATACAAATTCTTATGCTTTAAAAGAATCATCATGAATATATAATTCAATTCTTAATATCTGGGGGAAAAAAAAAATCAGGATTTCCAAACTGACCCAAATGAATTTTATTACTTAATGAAACCCACCAAAACTTTCATAATGACCTAGGACCAGAAATACTACATTGGCGGGCACTTCCCCTATGGTCCAGTGGTTAAGATTCTGCACTTCCAATGCAGGTGGTATGGATTCGATCCCTGGTTGGGGAACGAAGATCCATATGCCATGTAGTGTGGCAAAAAAAAAAAAAAACAAACTACATTGGCTATATGAATATATATATCCACACACACACACACACACATATATATGAAGATACACACACACATATCTCACATATATACCCTATGATTCCAAACAGCAATACATCCCATAGGAATAGGAATCAGGATTTACCATGTAAATTCAGGTCAGGAAAACTCTTTATACCATAGATATTCAAGAATCAAGCATCACATGAATACCAATAACTTTTTAAAGAAATTTTATGAATAAACAGAATTAACACCTTACATTTTTAGAAATCCAGTTTCTTCTATTCTCTATTTTGTTAACAACAGTATGAGCATTGTTTACCCATTCTTAATCTATCATATATATATAATTTCCATTAGATTTTTGTAAGTTATAAAACATACATCCTGTTATTTGGAAAATTAACTAAAAGATAATTTCAAGAAGTTTAAGTACCTGAAGATATTTAAAGAAAATAATTAACATAAACATCTCAGCATGTGTGATTTCAATGATGGTATTTCTATTTCTACATAAAGATGATCTTCCCCTAAATACAAAGTATGGGTGTATTTCATTAATTTTTATATAGCGATTGAAAAAGAGCCTTCCCTTTATGCCTCTTTTGTTTTCTAGAGATAAATCATCCTTGCATATTCAGTATACATTTTTTGGAAAGTCCACAAATGAAATATGCAAAAATCCACTTGAACAATTAGAGCTATCAGCCAGATGTTTAAAAACTGATTACTTCAGCACCTTTTCATTTTTTAATTTTGACAACAGCACAGCAGCAGTACTTAAAAGGAATCAGAACTACTTTAATAGATAGTTATGGGTTAAAAGCTTGGCGTGCTGCAGTTCATGGAGTTGCAAAGAACAGACACAACTAAGCGACTGAACAATAGGTTAAAATAACCAGTGCCCCTGCCATAAGTAAGAGTGTCTAAAATTAATCAGAAAATAATTTGATGCTGTTAGTTTTAAAGTTGAATGTTGCATGCTTCTGAAGCATTCTGGATCAAGTCCTAAACACAGCATATGAATTGGGCTGCAAACAGAATCTTTACCACTACAAAGTTGTAAATGAGTATCTGATAAATGAACCATAAATATTACTCATTCTTTAAATCAATTTTTTAAAATCTGCCACTCACTGTAGTTATTACATTTACACAGTGTTCAAAACAGCCAATTTTAAGGAATAGCCCAAATTTCCACCTACCCATGAAAGATGAGGGCTATCATTACTTCCTTTCTAAAACACTCAATTCTCCCACCATTCCCTTCTCTTGAACTTGTATTTCCCTTTGCACAAATTTACCTCTTCATTTCATAACTGTCATCAACAGAACTAAAATTTATTGAGGACTATAAACCAGATACTGTTCATGCACTTGCCAAAAGCTATATTCTCAGCACTCCGTGAAGAAGATGTTACTATCTCTATTTTATAAAATGAAGAAACCCAAGCTTTGCACCAAGTGGCAGAGCACAACTCAAAACCAAGCCGTGTGGTTCCAAAGAGCGCATGTCTAACACGGAAACGGTGGTTCTAAACAGGGGGCCAGAGAGCCCCAGGACGCCACACTGTGCTCAGAGACATTCTAAATGAGGGTGGGAAGGACACAGTGATGTTCAGTATCTGTGAACACTCCAAACTATTTCGAGGTAGTTCACACTTCTAACATTAGATAGCGCTATATTCCTCTCAATGACATGCTCTTTTCCCAAAGCGGAGGTTCTGGGAGTTCTCCAAGGGTGACAGTCCAATGATCCCAAGGCTTGAGAAGTTGTGCCTTGTCCAGCAGGTGCACACATATCGTATCATGCAACTATCGTTTTTAAAGAATGGAATAAATGTTTTTTCCATGTATGTGTATTATTTTGTTAAATATTATTTGTACACTCATTAAGTTTGGATCTAACCACTTAATACTTATAACTCTTAAATATTAATATGGTTAAGTAGCACTACAAAAAAACTTACTGAAATATTCAGACACCATCAACAAAGAAAGTTTCGGAATTTCTACATTACATATACTGTATTTTTACATCCTTATCTTCCATACTTCAAAAAAACCAGCCACACTCCACTCTAATACTATCTATGTCTACTTTTGCATTATTTATGATTACATTTTCTGAAAACTATAATCAAAAAGCTCCTGAGTTTAGGGTTAAACAACTATTTTAAGTGGGTACAGAAGTACATTTTTCCACGTTTCATCAGTGATTTAGATTGATATTGCCTTTGGAAAATGTTATTAATTTCCCCTCAACATAATGCAATTATCAGGCATTATATCTCATGCTTTAAAATAAATAAGCTTCTAATAGGTGGTATATAGATTGATTAAAGCAAATCAAATTATAATTTTTAAAACCTTGAACAAATATTGAGTTTTATGATTAAGAAAAACAAAGAGCTAGCAAAGTAACATGCATACATGATCCTACTTTTTATACTTCTATTTTTATGAATAAACACAGAGAATTATTTGGAAGGATATATAGCAAACTGTAAACAGTGGCTATCTAAAGGGAACGAGACTGACAAGGAGAGACATAAAGATTAATAACTTCACTTCAAATATCATTTTATGTTTATTTTTTAAATTTTTTAATAACTGAAAAAAGAAAAGGAAGGTCTTAAAGTTTCCCTTGGGAAAAATTTTTTTCACCAAATCTAGTGGGAAACTTCAGTAACATACATGCAAAACTTGACTCAGAAAACTTGAATTCTAGACTCTGATTCAAGACTCATCAAATATCTGACTTCCAGCTTCTCTTTTTTTAAAACTCTTTTATGACAAACCTCTATATCCTTACTTACAAATTGGAAATAAAATTTTTACTTTGTTCCCGTCAAGGTTACCATGAGGATAAATAAAAATGTGATTTGTAAGTTATTAAAGGCCATGCAAATAGCTATTACTTGTTCTATTCCACGGGCTTGCCTGGTGGCTCAGACAGTAAAGAATCCACCTGCCATGCAGAAGACCTGGCTTTGATCCCCGGTTGGGAAGATTCCCTGGAGAAGAGAATGGCAACCTACTCCAGTATTCTTTACCTGGAGAATCCCAAAGACAGAGGAGCCTGGTGGGCTACAGTCCATGGGTCACAAAGAGTAAGACACAACTGAACGACTGACACTTTCACTTTCATTCTATGCAGCCAGAAATGAGTTAGCATAAACACCAGAAACGCTACTAGCACTGGCAGTAAAGTGGAAAAGCTGCTTTCTTAGGGACCATTTCCCCTAGAGTTAATTATCTAAATAGGGTAATACCTGGCCAGAATCATCCAACTCTTGTAGCTTCAAACTACTGAATAGCAATTCTGAAAAGTGACCATCATAACAACAATAATGCTAGCTACCTGTTACGGTTGTTGTGAAAATTAAATAAACTAAAATGTGTAAAGTGCTTAAAATAGCATCTGGCTCATAAAAAGCAATTTATTGATACTACTGTGATTATGATGGTTATCATAATATCCCAACATTTCATGAGTTAACATATAAAAATCCTTGTAAACTATTAGGGAAGGACAAATGTTAAAAGTGTTAGAAAATTTTAACACTTATTTATTTATTTATATATAGCTGAACCCCAAGGCTTGCAGGATCTTAAGTTCCCTGACCAGGAATCGAACCCAGGCCCTGGCAATGAAAATGCCAAGTTATAACCAGTGGATCATCAAGAAATTCCCAACATTAACTTAAATCTATTATCAGAAAAAAATCTTAAAAGCATCTAGTTAAAAATTCAATCTACTCCATTCACACCTTCTCCTAAAGCAGCTAACACCTGGACCTAGAGATCATACCTCGACCTAGAGTATACTTATTCCACACTAAGTGAAATACGTCAGACAGAAAGACATATCAACAATTGCTTATACGTGGAATCTACAAAAAAAAGTACAAATGAATCTATTCACAAAACAAAAACTGAGCCACAGGTGTAGAAAACAAACTTAAGAGTTTGTCAAGGGAAGGGGGAGGGATAAACTGGGAGACTGGGATTGACATACACAAAACAGGGAACCAGACTCACTCTGTTGTACAGCAGAAACTAATAGCACTGAAAATCAACTATGCTCCAATAAAAAATTAACTTAAAAAATGTTTTAAAATTTATTCTACCACACACACAGACACACACACGCACACACACACACACAATCAGCTAATACTTACTGAGCAATTGCTCAGGGCAAGCACTGGCCAACACTCTTTCCATGGATTTTAAAATTTAGATTCAATCTTTCAGACTAGAGTGAAAACAATCATGTGCTCTATTTTAATCCTAGTGTTTTAAATATTGCTAACTGGTGGCTTTACAATATAAACTAGTGGAAGGACAGTATTTTGGAGTCAGAAAAACAGGAATGGATAAGAGCTTTATTTAATTCCATAAGTCACATGTGGTGATTCAAAAAATTCACCTCTATTCCATTTCAACACAAAACAGCTAGCTAGGCATCTCAAAACTGATTTCAACATAAATGTAACTTCATTCAAAGGCACTAGATGGTCAACTTCATTCAACTAAATTCAATACAGAGATGTGGCATTCCAACCCTTTGTCCCTCTTTACTATCATTAATTTCTAAGATTCTTCGACTCTGCCTAGAATCGTTTAACACCATCAACAAAAATATTTAATCACTTTGAACCAATAAAAACCATCAAAGGAAGATACACCACCAGAATCATTTAAACCCCATTCAAAATGGTTGGGTCAAAATTCCTGAAAACTAATATCCTTTACAGGAAAGAGACTGTGCAGTTTATCCAGAATACAAACTTCTCTCCTTACTCTAAATTACAGACACAATAGATTTCTGGCTATCCCCTCAAAACTACATGTCATTCTGCTACACAACCATGAAAAATGATTTTGATCGATAGATACAGACATGGAGATCTCTCTACAATATACTGTTGAATTAAAAAGCAGACTGCAGAATAACAAGTACAATGAATTCCTTTTTATAAAAATATACACATTCAAGGCAGGCATAAAAGATGAAAAAAAAAAAAATACCACAATTAAGACAACAGCCCACTTAGGTCGGTGGCAAAATTTTCGAGTGTTCCTTTACATATTCCATATCACCTTAAAATATACATATACATCCTATGTTATCTGGCCTTTTTTTCAATAAACAAACTTTTTGTTTTAAATAATTGGGGAAAACAACTGTTTTCAGTTCCCAGTTAGGCAAAAAAACACATGCTCGCTTTCGTCTCAAAAAGCCGCACGTCAGAATTTCTTCATATAGAGTCCAAAGAGATAGACAATTTTAGAACAACTTACTATTTGATCACTGACAACCACCATTATTTCTGTACTTAATTCATCCAGAGAAGCAAAATAGATACAATATGCTTTAAAAACAAACAAACGAACAGCAGAGTACTAGAGATACCACCAAGAAAAAAGCTGGAAAACCAGCCCTTTTATTTTCTCTTTTTGAAGTTGTCTCTTCCCATCCTATGGAAAAGTACAAGATACTTCAACAAAACCCGAGTATTTCCATAGACTCAGAGACCTTTAGAGAAACCTCCTGGCTATGCTTGTGTCTTTCACAGCAATTTACATGGTGAGGAAATAGAGTGGCTCTAATCTAGACAGAGACAGTCGGTCAAAATCTTTACATCACATAACCAAAGGTCAGTTTTGTCCTGATACCTTCTTCAATCAGAGTCACAGAATACTTACATATTTTAGCTTCTGGTCAGATAACTCAAATTTTAATTGACTGCTATACAGATGCTGTCAAAAGCGCACTTGAAATTACTGAATATTTTAAAGACATTAAAGGAAATTGCTAACCACCTGTTAGTTTGGATTCTCCTCTCCTATTACTCTATCGAAATAAGATTCATATAATATTGCAAATGTAAATTAAACTTTAGTGTTCCACAGGAATTCTTAACAAAACTACATTTTATACTAGTCTTTGGTTTTCTAATTGGGAATGACAAAGGCATCTCTATGGAAAGAATTTTGATTATCTCCTATAAAAGTAAGATATTATCCACCTGTCATATTTACAGAGTCACACAGAAATTCCTTTTAGGTTTTATGGCCAGAAAAAGCTTCTTTTCCTACTACAGAATACGTAACTCTTACTTCAGTTTCTATCAGCTGCTAGTAAGGCTAGTAGGCTCAGAGCTAAATTACAAAATGTTACTTAGTTTAAGGCTTCTGTTATATCTTCCAATAGTTTATGTGGCTCTTGGTCTTTTGTGTATCTAATATACAATCATGCTCTCACACTCTTTTTTTTTTTTTTTATGAAACTGCTACATAATCAGGCATAAGACAGTTACTGCCGGGAATTCCTTGATGGCCGAGTATCAGGATTCCAGGCTTTCAATGCCTGGGCTCAGGGTTCAATCTCTGCTCAAGAAACTGAGATCCCACAAGCCGAGTGGCCAAAACAAACCAAAAAAGACAGGAACTGCCAATGTTGAGAATTTTAATCAAGTCACAATTGTGTATAGATGCCTCTGCCACAACAAGTCATAAAGAACTTAAATGACAACAAATGCCATAAATTTATTAATTTTCAAATTAGAAGGTTTAGACAAATGAGGATGGCAAAAAAAAAGTTCATTTCCGGGGAAAAGAATAACTTTAAAATATATAGGACTAGGACTTTCCTAATGAAAATATTAAAAGCTTTAAAACTTTACGTTTGCTTAATCTTACTTACCATGCCTTTTAAAAATTAATAGGGCATTTTAATTGTAACAAAAAAAGACTTACATACCTTATGTAAACAAGTGTCCACTACCCAATTGCACACATTTTCCAGGTCATCAGATACCTCAAGCCTAGATTTAACAAATTCACAGAGCTCCTCATTACTCATAACATCCCAGATCCCATCACAAGCCAAGATGATAAATTCATCCTCTTCTGCTCTTAAAATTTCATAAACCTCAGGCTCTGGAGAAACAAGTTGTTCTGTTGGGCCCTTGCCATCAACACACTTGTAATCATAGTCCCCCAGAGCACGAGACACTGCTAATGAACCATTAACACGCTGTATCATTACGCTGCCTCCTGCATTTTGGATTCGCTCTTTCTCCCTTGGGTTGCAAGGTTTGTGATCTTGGGTAGAAAAGCAGACTTGTCCACTCCTATACAGAACAGCCCGTGAATCGCCGCAGTTGATGAAGTAGATGTGCTTAGGTGAGATCATAACTCCCACTGCAGTTGAACCGCTCCTGTCCATGCCATTTCTGAGGTCTGAAAAGTTACGCATGTATTCATCAATTTTCAAAAAGCCAGTTCTGATACCATTCTTGACGTTCTCCACTGAAGGCTCAAGAGCAGACCCTGACTTTCCAGCGGCCCTGAAGTCTTCGTTGTTAGTAATGTGTTCTAACAAGTGTGTTGAGCAGTAATTTGCTACTCGGGATCCGGCATGACCGTCATAAACTGCAAAAAACGACCAGTCTTCCAAGCCGTGCGGAATCCCAACAACGGCTGTGTGCGCGTCTTCCATTTCCACTCTCCACCCCTGCATGCTGCTCAAGCCATAGCGCAGGCCGTTCCCAGCACCGTGAGCATTGTGTTTCTCAGTTTTGGGTTTGTCCAAAAATGCACCCATGTTTAGTAATAAATCTGAAAGGAGGAAAAAAAATGTAGATGTTACATATTTAAATTAAGAGCATTTATCAACAACAGTTCATCTGTTTTCTAGTTAACTCCTAATCTCGTGTATTTTTCATTATCATCAAAACTTATAGGAATCACAACAAAAAAGAAACCAAGCAAACTGCCCCAAACATCCTTCTTTTAGAACAGTGGTTTCTCAATCCTTACACACTAGAGTCTCCAGAGGTAGGACCCAGATATTATTATCTTTTTAAAAATGCCTCTCTGGTGATCTGCATGTGCAGCAAGCTGAAAACCACTGTTGGAGGAGAAAGGAAAACCAAGAAACAAAACCTGTTTTTTTTTTTTTAATTTGTAATTTGAGGGTTCAATATATAAGACAGAACAATGAGAATATTCAAAACTTGGCAACATCTTGCTCAATTTATTAAGGTAGAAAAGTATGCTAATACATTTTAGAAAGATTTCCAAAAGTAAGTGTTATAATCAAGTATATTCCCCCACCAGATCTTGACAACCCCCAAAATTAATTAAAACAAAATATCAGTTTTACAAGTATGTGATTCCATCTAGGTTGTACTGCACATCAAATAAAGAACTTTACTTGGACTGATGGAAACCCATTAACCCATAAAAACGAATATAACTTTAATGATGTGCTGAAGAGCATACTACTTGAATATTGCCGAGTTTCACAATCCATGAAGTGGCATTAGGAAAACTTTTACTGAGAAAAAAAGTAAAAGTTAAAAAAAAAAGTGCTTTTACTTTTACCCATTAGAGAACTGTGAAATCCACTACACATCACCATCCTCCCAACTTCACTTTTAGAATAAAATCTTTTCAATTTTAAACGGCCTGGACTAGAGCAGTGGGAATGAGAATGCCTTGATATGTTTGCCATATACAAGCCTGGCACTAAGACTCCTGAGTTGTGTGACCTTAGTAAGTTTCTTAGTCTGTTAAACCTTAAATTCCTCCTCTGTCAAATGGGAATAATAACAATAGTACCCACACCTGCCTTCCCTGGTGGCTCAGACGGTAAAGCATCTGCTTACAATGCAGGAGACCTGGGTTCGATCCCTGGGTCAGGAAGATCCCCTGGAGAAGGAAATGGCAACCCACTCCAGTACTCTTGCCAGAATCCCATGGATGGAGGAGCCTGGTAGGCTATAGTCCCTGGGGTCACAAAGAGTCAGACACGACTGAAGTGACTTCACTCACTCACTACACCTAACAGGGAAGAATGTATTAATATATAGTGCTTAGAATAGTTCCCGAGACACAGTAAACACCACAAAATGTTTGCTGTTACTATTTGCTCAAAATGCAGATTCCCACACCCCCATTTCCCAGCCCCCCCAATAGATCTTGTATGGGGTCTTCAAAAAAGCATACTGGTGACTTAAGAATCACATTTTGAGACATATTAGTCTAGATCAACTTACTTTCATTTGACTCTAGGTATCTTTGAGAGAGCTCTTTTTCAGCTGTAACTGTTACCTAACTACAATAAAACTATATATTCCTATTCCTAAAAACCCAATGAACCACCACATATAATATTTGTAAATTGCAGCAATTTTATAACTTTTCATTATATGCTAATATACTAATTATGTACTAATTATTAATACAAATACAAATATTTATTAAAAGAAATTTTCAAAGGGCAAAGTTTTACTCTTACCTAAAAATAACTTTCATTCAAGTATAATACAAAAGTATTGGTAACAATATAACAGAATATGCTTATTTTTTAACACACTGGTTTAATACTTTGATACAATGATTTTGAAAGCCTGGTTCTAAGTATATTTTAGATTCTTTTTAATGCCTATTTCAGCTGAGAAAACAACATCACCACCTTATAAAGATATCTAAATGCAAGTGAAACTGAATTGATAACTGTATTTATCACCCACTCTTCAGTCCCAACTACCAACTACAAAAAAAGAACTTTGTTATTTCCATTATCTTGATGTTCTTCCAATTAAGGTGCTGCTGTTTCAAGTTTCAACAAATGGGCTCAAAAGTCACCAGAACTCCTCATTTAGAAGAGTTTTAAAAAGAGTTTGAAAGTTTCTATCATAAAATTTGTTTTTAATTTAGGAATAAAGGAGAAAAGGGAAGCGGGAGTTTCTTTAACAGAAACTATAGAAGACTCTTACACCGAAAACAGCCTTGCCTGGGGCTGCAGTGATTTCTACCTTCCGTTTGATTCCTTTCTGAAAGTCACTTGCTCAAGATTCAAAGTCCAGGAAACTATTAACTAATGGACTGAACTTTGGTCATCGGCACACTCACTGGCTGTAATCGGGATCATATTCTTTTACAAATTACTACTTTGTTCTAAAGCTCAAAATTGATCTCATTTTAAAGTCAGTGTTGTCCTCTAATGATTTAATTATTTAATCATGAAATACCATATTTTATACAATGTATACACACAGCTAAAGAGTACTAAATACCCACACACCTTCCAAATAGCTTAAAAAATAGAACATTATCAAGACCACTGAAGTCTCTTCTTATTTTTGACCTTTATAACTAGTGTTCTTCTAGTCTAACCATATTTATGTTGGTTGTTTAGTTTTATGTTTGACACTTTACACTGATGTAAAATACAATATGCATTACTGCTGCAGGCGGCACAGCAGGTAGGGATGGAAAGCGGTCGATGCACTGTTTGGGAAAAAGAAACTAGAGACAATTGAAGTTTTAAAGATGGGACCTCTTGGGTCAAGAGCCCTGTTCCTCGGAGCCACATCACTCTTACTTAGTGTCTTGGCAAGCAGAAAGTATCTGTTGTGCTACGATGAAGTCAGCCTCCTGCGTCCCCCGTCACGTCTCCAATTTTATTGGCTACTTTAAACTGTGTTATTTTCTTGTACAAGGGCTATCACCTAGCTGGAGGTCATAGACCTGCACATGCCTTGGGAAAACATCTCAGAGTGTGCACAAACACGTGTTCTGAACTTGCGCTGACCCAGCGTTCCAAGGTCCGCGCTGTGTTTTTCCTTAGCTTAGCGGAGTATAACAACCCCAACTAATCAACCCGATGTACTGTTATTTGGGTTATGCTGCATTTTGGGTTATGCTATATTTTGCTTTTGTTCTTTTCCCATGGTGATTTTCTCATGGCTTAGCCAGAGCAACAGGCAGCTGACTATTCACCCCTGCAGATCTCCCTTTTTGTTTTTGTAGCAGAAGATATGTTGATCTCACAACTTTTTTCTTCATTAGTTCTTGGAGGGTTTTTCACATGCATCTAGGGACTAAACAAGATTATATAGCGATTTCCACGTGGGCCTCTGCAGGATCGGGTTCTGCCTTCCTTTTCTGAGACAGGGTGACCTAGGAAAAATAGACTCTGCTTCCTGTACATAGTGTTTCTGCAAAATGCCTGGAATCATTTTGCTTGGGGGAAAAGGTTGAAGATGGAGTCCACTGAGGAGGGAAAGCCTGGGTCTTCAGCACCACATGTGCCAGCCCAGAAGCAGCAGTGTGAAAACCTCTATAACATCTGCAGACCCCTAAAAATTAAGGAGACTTTGATTTGGACATTCTCAGTAGGAATGGTTAAAGGCTAATGGGACCATAGAGAGATGCCAGATGCTTGATAGATCCTGTAGTTCAACTTGATTCCTAGAGAGAAGCTGTTCATATGATACCAGAAAAATGAAATTTCAGGAAACTAGACTGGAGTCTCACTTCTTTTCCAGCCCGGAATTCTTGGGAGCTGTAATCCTGGATATAGTAGATAATAATAGCATTTTTGTTTTATGCATGAAGGTGGATGATTCTTCAAATTAAAGATGGACACTGACTTTTCTCACCAGAAATGGTTTATAAGAATCAACTTGCAAAAATTTAAGAGGCAGTAAAAGAAAGAGTAAAATATTTTCTTCTATCATTCTTTGATTCTTTGCTAGATTGTAAACTTCATGAAAGCAGGATAACTTGCTCATCTGTAATGCCTGATCCAGAATAGATTCTCAAGAAATACTTGAAGTTAATTAAAATATCTGTAGAATTTTGGGTTTTTTTGAATCTTTGGAAATGACAACCATTTTAATGGCATTTCAACAAGATTACATGGAATACTTGGGACTTCAATTTTTACTTGATAAACTACCTGGATAGCAATGAGTCTTACTAATAACTTCTGTTATAATATGAAATCTATTCTCTGGATTATGATTCTTCTGTTAAAGCAAATATAAACATCAAATTAGATTTAGAGTAGATGATGCTGACTATCTCAGATTCAAACATACTAGGAAAATTATTATTTCTGAAGTTCTTAGAGAAATGTGGTACATAATATAGCCAGTAAGTACTTATAATATCTAAACAAGATCAAAATCAAACTTTATGGTAAAATACCAGTTAAATGGTATATGATAATGAATGCACAAATTGTGCTGTCAGAGTTTATCCAGACTTTTTATGTTAGGAAGAATGGATTAAAGATCTGTAAATGGAAAGCAAAACTTCAAGCCTATATAAAAGCAAAGACTATGGCACTGTGACATTGGATTAGCCATAAGGCAAAAGAAAAGACTGATACATTTGTATACACTAAAATTCAAACTTAAGTTTGCATGCTATGTAACTGACAAAGGCTCCATTTAAATCAAGAAAATGATCAAAGGATATGAATGGGCAATTCATAGATGAGGATCCCTAAGTAGTCATTCACATGAAAAGATGCTTAATCTAACAACTGATAAAATAACTTTACATTAAAACAACACTGAGATTCCATTTCACTGCCATCAGATGGGCAAAAATCGAAATAGAATAAATGAACTCTGACACTTAAACATGTTACCAAGGCTGGAGTTGCTGGTAGCAGTGAAATTAATTTATTACTTTGGAGAAGGTTTGGCAACATCATTTTTTTTTTAAGATGATTATACCCAATCTTTGGGTATTCTTAAAGAGTTCTTACATGTATACTCAAGGAAATGGGCACAGAAAGTTTATTGCAGTAAAATATT